TTCACAACTGAAAAAAGACTGTGGTATCTTTTGTGTTAGAAACTATAACTATTACACGTGCGGTGAAAATAGGCCGTGGCACGTGTGCAAAAGATTAAATGAAAATATGGACTGCAGATTATGTACAATCTATAGACTATTTATGTAGCTGATATATCCTCCTCTTAACAAACATATTTTTTCCAACCCATGCATTATCTTATCAAGCATGTGTTCATGATTCATAATAACATATGGCATGATGTACACACATGCATGTGTATGAGTAATTGACTGAGTAATATCAGCGATTCGCCACAATATGTGCAACAATATGATCAAATGACTGACTGACTGAGTTTAGTTTTACGCCGCTTTTAGCAATATTCCAGCAATATTACGGCGGGGGACACCAGAAATGGGCTTCACACATTGTGCCCATGTGGGGAATCGAACCCGGGTCTTCGGCGTGACGAGCCAACGCTTTAACCACTAGGCTACCCCACCGCCCCTATGATCAAATGAAAAAATGATGGAGGTTCGATAATCATTTAAAGGAAATCAAATCATATGCAGTAAAAAACATACATACATGTATCAAGAAAAAGCTTCCACAACACAAACATTTGTTGAGGACAGAAAGTTATATAATTTGTTAAAAGATTTAATCATTGACGTGTTAGTCCAGAACCATTTGGTTTTATTAATTGGCTCAACATTCTTGAATTGAGATTATTTCAGTGACAGCGATATGCTGTTGTTGACTAAATGGAACCGAATTTAAAGACTATATAATATTATACTGTTTTCCGTCTTTTGAGATTTCATACCCATGTGTAAATTTGAAAAATTATCTTCTTGTCCATAAAAATCTCTCTTCCTCGTGTTAATCACTTCTAAATGCCATTCAAAGGCCTTGTCCGTTAAATCAGAGACCATAAACTATTATATGGTCTCTGGTTAAATCTGTACACCGAAATGTGAATTACATACATGCAATTTGAACAACATACACAGCTTATCTGACCTTAAAGCGCAATGTGCATTGTAAAAATACATGCATTATATTTAGTCGAGCATTTTTAGCTGATTCAACAATTGGTCTCCATTGCATCAAGCGAGGGGCAGTCGACCTTGACAGTGACCCACATGTACGAAAGGTCATCAGGTCTGCGGCAAATGCATGGCGATCAAAGCGAGTCCAAAGTCCAATCTGGGGTCTCAACAGCCATTGGTCACTCATGCCTGCCGGCTCGATGTTTACAAAATCCTCGTGCTAGTGTTTGCGTCTCGCTCACTGTTGACAGAAAAGCATGTAAATTGCTTTCCTCGTTAAGTCCGTGCAGATTGAGATTTATGTCGATTTCACATACGGGAAGACTGTCATTGCGCATAGTGGAGATCTTGTGTACTTTGTCAGCTGTCGAATCACCCGGCCGACCAAATGGTAAGAATGCAATATATTTTGTTATTAACATTTCCTAATGTGACGTAAGATTCGCTCAAGCATATAATTGATTGACAAGGTGTGCGTCACTTCATAAACAGAAGATCTCAGTGACGTGTATGGCCTGACAAGACCAGCTGGTGATACAACATCGCCATGATCCAATTGAACGATTCTAATTAATCGTTCTTCCGAATGTAAGAAATGAATATCATAATTTATTTCAACTAAGTGGTTAATTTCGCAAGATTAAATGAATTTCAATCGACTTTAAATTGTGTTGATTTTGGTTTGATATTGAGAGCAACTTCTGTAAATGAGAACAGTTTTCCTGTCGGTATTGGAAGGGAAGATTATTGGATCATTACATTACATGACGTGGATGTGTCATGGTTGCCATGACGATTAAAGGCGATAATGTCAATAAAACAACACTTACAAAATGACACATGCATAGGAAACGTAACTCTGGACGTAACAGTCACGGGATAAACGTTCACACCTTCTACAATGCTTGAAACAACTCTTTTCATAGTTCACGAGTAGGTTTTTCTTCGAACCCAAACTGTGAAGGCATGTTCGTGTCAAACTATCGCTGTTATTTTTTAGTATCTATTCTGTGTCATCCAGGATTCAAAGTGCATAAAATCCAAGAGACATTAATGTTAGCTTAAATGTATATCAGTTGCCTTTGATTATATAAATGATGCAAAACAGATTAGTCCAATATAACGTCCTTTGATACACCTTTATATGGATTTGCCTCTTACAACGACCATATATATCCATGGACCTGTCACTCAGTACGGAGCAATACTACATTCAGAAAATCAGATCTAATTACCTCCAGCAGTTCTGAGTTACAGAGAGAGACTTCAGATACAAGTAGAGTATATATGTATATCAATTGCATATTACGGGGGCGGTGGGGTAGCCTAATTGTAAAGCGTTGCCTCGTCACGCTGAAGACCCGGGTTCGAATCCCCACATGGGCACAATGTGTGAAGCCCATTTCTGGTGTCCCCCGTCGTGATGTTGCTGGAATATTGCTAAAAGCGGCGTAAAACCAAAACTCAGTCAGTCAGTCAGTGCATATTACGACATTTATATTATTCTACTCTGTCTCCGTATAGGGAGGTAGGTAGGTTTATTTAATTCCTCCAGATTTGGAGATACAAAATTAATTGGATATCAAAAGCTTAAGTTGTTAGCCACAAGTGTTGAAATTTTATGATAGATTAATTAGAGTCTTTAGAAAGTGAAACTGGACCAGTCGATCCCAGATGCAAACTGTCCAACCAGTAGCAGCAGTTGTATGGTGTCAATGTCATACGTGTGACGTCCGAGCAGCACTTCGGTCAGCGTTCTCTGTTCTATATTGTCTAACAGAACATATATGTGTCTACACCGAATACTAGTATGTCTAGAATATCTAGCCACATTGTCAGTACAAAGGTGAAGAATGTGGTGTACAAGACCATGAACAATGCAGGAACACATTGGGCACTGTTCAGTTCTCACTGAGTGCGTAATAAGAGAGAGTAGCTTTGAGACGTTCAGATACAAATAAAGTACATGTATATCAACTGCATATTACGACATTTATGTGTATGCCACTGTGTCTCCGTAAAGGTACGCTAATAAATAAATAGGTGTTAAAAAGGTAAATTATCTCAACAGTACGCTCTGAACAAACGATTTAACGACTTGCCATAAACCCATACTAAGTCTCTGATCATATATGATCACTGATGAGTTGACTAATGAAATAGATTATCAAAGATTTTATTTACAATAAGAAATAGTTCATTAAATATTATATTTATTGAGAAGAATATATGTAATTATGATAACACATTTTTATTGACTATTATGAAGTTTGAAAGTCATTTTGGTTTAAACATATTTTATTATCATTATCAAAGTGTTTAATTTTTAAGGACATTTACTCCACTGTCTCATAACTGGGAGTCTCACAATTGGGAGTTGTCACAAATGGGAGTAGAACTCTTTTTATTATATTTTACGAACATATTTTAGGAACAATTTTTCTGTAATACATGGTCATATCAGAGACTAGGTGGTAGTCTTGTCAAGCGCAGTCGATGGTGTATGCATGTGCATACTCACTCACACGGAAACAAATCAAATTATACTCATCTACTAAAGAAACCATGTAACGCAATCACACAGACAATGAATGTACAGGAATGTGTGGTCAACGTGTACACGAGTGACGCGACAATATAGAGCTACCCTGGCAGTTGTATTGAGTTAAATGCCGTTACAAACCGCCCTAGTGGACAACCGGACAACCGAAACCCCATTTATACATGTCAGCAGGTTTAGTGCACTGTTAGCTTTGTACTCGGAAAATGACCAACACAATCTCCTCATCAAGTTGTATTCAAGAAAGTCGATGACCCGCGCTTGACCGATAAACGGTATCTTCTTACTTCTCTCTGTTGGATGGACATGTGTTTACATGTAGCACGTGATAGTTCATTAAGAATGACTGAAAATAATAGAATCTTTGAAAACAGGGTTTTCTCAGGGTTTGTTATAGAATGATAATTCAACGGATATAATTTATAAAATATCAATAATAGCCTAGTGGTTAAAGCGTTGGCTCGTCACGCCGAAGACCCGGGTTCGAATCCCCACATGGGTACAATGAGTGAAGCCCATTTCTGGTGTCCCCCCGCCGTGATATTGCTGGAATATTGCTAAAAGCGGCGTAAAACTAAACTCGGTCAGTCAGTCAGTAAGGGATGGGAGGGATGCCATGCTTAGCAACGTTACTACTCGGTCAGGACGAGAGAGACAACATATGACGTTGACACGTGGGTAAGAGTTCCACCCGTAACCCCCGCTTGAAATGTATTCTATTTGTTGTGATTATTTCGAGGGTTTAGGGTAAGGGTAGGCTTTCTATAAAACCCAACTATTCTTAGGCAAAGAATGATAAAAAACGGGGATTACGGGTGGAAATCTTTCCGGGCCGGGTTGTCGGGGTAGCTTTGTGGTTAAAGAGTTTGCTCGTCACGCCGAAGACCCGGTTTCGATTCCTCAGGGGACATTTCTGGTGTCCCCTATCGATATATTGCTGGAATACTGTCAAAGGCGGCGTAAAACCATACTCACTCACTGTTTACCTCTAAACGTTGCTCGGTTTTGAAATAGAATTATTGTTTGAATGCGCACATGACTATATTTCGAGCACTATGCGTCAATGAACCCTTCCCTGGTGGTCATGAGGATACTGATGTGATGGATATGCCGGCGATGTTGTCATTATGACGACAGCGTTATACCATCACTATCATTAATGCAACATAATCACGGTATTAGATACAAACAGGAGTGATAATACGCGGATAAGCTGTGACGCTGTATAACAAATCCTCCCATTTGCACTTGATGAAAACTGCTGACTCGCCAAACAGTGTCGCGCTCAGCGTTTTAGTCCGATCAAGTATCGATCCGGTGAAAGTCGCTTACAAACAGCTGTACCGCATGCCTACCGCGTGCTGACATACGCGTCTGTCAATCACTCACAGGGCACGTGAAGGAAATGTCCGTCATTTCTCTCTTCCTGGTGAGATATCGAGACCGGAAAATTCATATTACGGATTTGTGTGAGTAAACTTCTTAAGAACCGGTTATAAGTCTGATCCACAGGGGTACTTTAGTTTAGGCAGTGTTGTTCGATTGCCACGTGTACTGATTACGAAGATATTTGACCGCGAGTCACAATATGGCTTTAATACTTGTCAACTGCTCGTTGTATTTACCGGTTGTTTGCGGGTTGATTGACAGAGAGCGCTGTGTATTATTTCGAATTATCGACACGTGAAACATATTTTATTTTAGTGGTGTGACGATACAGAAATTTCACGATACGATACGTATCGCGATATCTTGGAACGATACGATACGATTTGATTTGATGCATATCACTATTTGCTATTTTAGTTATTTTCTTTTAAAAAGTATATTTAATAGCAAGTACCAGTGTAAATTTGACATAACCACCAATTTCTAGTGAAAATTAACAACTTTAAGGTCAACGATACATATCACGATACGAAAAAAAGTATCGATATATTTATCGTCAGGTAAAGTATCACGATTATCGATAGTACGATATATAATAACCATCAAAGGTTTAGACTAATTAGTGTAAATGTAGCCACTTACTTCAGTCAACCGTTCTTAACTAGATTTTGCAAAATATGCCATACTGTTTAAAGGGACTGTTAACACATGAACTGATGCATTGTAAAACAAATTCGTAACGTTGAAAAGATTATTATCATGAGTTCAATAAATGATGAAACTCAGTGAAAATTGGTGAATTCTTAACAAAACTTTACACCAAAACGCAGCTGTTCATATGCACGATATTTGCACATGCTTTTCAGCAATATGATAATTGATCCTCGTGCAATTCATCTGCATAAGGTTTGCAGTTGGTTCCCCCAAGTTAGTGGAGAAATCAATCTTCGATGTAACCAAATATATATACATAACATATAGTGAGTGCTTTATGTGAGTCTAAACTTTTGATGGGTAGTATATCTTCACAGCTCTAATGTATTTACTCTCAAGTGCTGCCTCATCGGCATTTACTGTTTCACATTTCTTTAGACTGACATCTAGTCTCTGAAATGAACCTATTTTACAGAAACCACGGTTCCTAACTGTGTCTGAGTATGTGTCTCTCTGTGTGTGTGCCTCTCTCTCTCTGTGGGGCGGTGGGGTAGCCTAGTGGTTCAAGCGTTGGCTCGCCACGCCGAAGACCCGGGTTCGATTCCCCACATGGGCACAATGTGTGAAGCCCATTTCTTGTGTCCCCCGCCGTGATATTGCTAGAATATTGCTAAAAGCGGCGTAAAACTAAACTCAGTCAGTCTCTCTGAGTGTGTGTCTGTCTGTGTGTCTCTGTTTCTATGTGTGTGTCTGTCTGTCTGTGTGTCTCTGTGTGTGTGTGTGTGGGGGATGGGTGTGTGTGTGTGTGTGTGTGTCTGTGTCTGTATGTGTCTGTACGTGTGCCCCGAATCACATCTCAGTCAGTCTGACGGGAAATATCACCGTGCAGTCTTCAGGCTATCGTACAGATCGTGAAATATTTATCTCTCAATCATACCATTTTGTTCCATTGTTGTCATTTCTGAGACTATGCTAATCCAACATGCCCTTACCAGGTAGGGACATTGAGTGACTTTGTATTAAACAATACGCCATAGACCCCACACATGTCCAGTAAAAGAGTTATCTGAAGCCCGGTACACATCGTGAAGGTCATAGCTTCAACTGGTCAGATGTAGCCCATGCTTGTCGGTTGGTTGGTTATTTAACGCTGCACTCAGCAATATTCCAGCTATATGGCGGCGGTCTGTAAATAATCGAGTCTGGACCAGACAATCCAGTGATCAACAGCATGAACATCGATCTACGCAACTGGATACGATGAAATGTGTCAACCAAGTCAGCGAGCCTGACCACCAGATCCTGTTAGTCGCCTCTTTGGACAAGCATGGGTTGCTGAAGACCAGGATCTTCATGGCTTCCATACTTGTAGGAAGACACACGTGTAGTTTAGACACCGCTGACTTGATTAATGTCATAATGTCTATCACGGGATTGTCTGATTCAGACTCAATTATCAATAATGGTAAAACCGACGTCTTGCTGAGCGCGACGTTACGAAATGATTGAAAAACAACAAAAAACTGGCATGCTTGTATATCATAAGTTCTCTCACCCCTTTTTATTTCTAATCATGGGGAATTTACGAGCTGTTTTTATTTCTAATGGGGAATTTACGAGCTGTTTTTATTTCTAATGGGGAATTTACGAGCTGTTTTTATTTCTAATCATGGCGATTTTACGAGCAGTAAACACTCATAGTCCCTGCTCCCAATGGGGCGTTATAATGAGGCATTCCATGTGGCCTATCTCCTACCCACTGCTAAGGCAAGGTAACATAAGATATTTGTGACAGAAATTTTTTTATTCACGTCTCACCTCTTAATATGAAAAAATTAACATAAAATTCACTTAAAAATACAGCGAGCCACCCAAAACTTTGGTTATGAGAGACGGTGTAGAACGACATGGCATAAGATATTTACATGAAATAGCAATAGATTGCCTATCACAAAGTGCATTAAAAGTGCATAAGATACTCATTTGTACGTACCATCCTGTGGAGAAGCCGGGGCAGTATCGTTGGGAAGGGGGTGGGCTTGGGTCGGGGTGGGGGTGGAGTTGTATATCTACCAGTTTCAGTTTTTAATTTCTTACCAATGTTTTTACCAGTTTTGTGAAAGGTGATTAACGTTTTTACAATGAATAAGACAATTATCAAACTTTATAGTTGACTTGAACAATTAGGGTATTCTTTATTTATTGTTTGGACTTACGAAAATCACTAAATGAATGCTTGAATATGATTTGACATTTGGACCAGACATTCTGTTAATCCTCTGTAACTTTATACCGTCCATGAACACGCTCCTATGCCTGAAATTGTATCCCAGCTGTAATCCACCAAGGTCGACAGCTTGTCCATCCCCTTTTGTTGGGTAGTGGTCAAGATTAAGGTGACCGTTGTTCAGTTGCCAGTCCCGTTATAGGACCCCCCCGACTGTTTACCAGTTAACGGCGTCGATCTATAATCGTTAGTCAGTTGCAGGGACAGCTGTCAATCAAAGATGCTAATCAGTTTTCAGCATCTGTGGAACAATGTTGATGTTCCGACAGAGTTCTCTGCCGTTGAGACTGTCAGCTCAGGGAATACTTGAACTGGCTGGTTACGCTATCTGAGATTGGCAAATCATGGCGTCATTAATGAGTATACACAAATGTGATCGGGTCGTTGTGTAATACCACTGTTAAGTTACTAAAACACGGGCAACTCTAGATTAGTTTCCTTTTGTCCCAAACAGAACAGGAAAGTGGTTTCTATTATGTTTCATTGTTGTTTTAACGCCTCACTCAGCTATATGACGGCGGTCTGTAAATAATCGTGTCTGGACAGACAATCCAATGATCAACAGCATGAGCATCGTTCTACGCAGTTGAGATACGATGACATGTGGCAACCAAGTCAGCGAGCCTGACCACCCGGTCCCGTCACCTCTTAGGACAAGCATGGGTTGCTGAAGACCAATTCTAACCCGGATGTCCACGGATTGTTGTCTATTACAGATTACAGTTATTCAAAGAGATTTATTTCATTGAAAGGGCGATAGGGTAGCCGAGTGGTTAATGTATTCGCTCGTCATGGAGTGAGTGAGTGAGTGAGTTTAGTTTTACGCCGCACTCAGCAATATTCCAGCTATATGGCGGCGGTCTGTAAATAATCGAGTCTGGACCAGACAATCCAGTGATCAACAGCATGAGCATCGATCTGCGCAATTGGGAACCGATGACATGTGTCAACGAAGTCAGCGAAACTGACCACCCGATCCCGTTAGTCGCCTCTTACGACAAGATAGTCGCCTTTTTATGGCAAGCACATGGGTTGCTGAAGACCTATTCTACCCCGGATCTTCACGGGTCCTCGTCATGGAGAAGACTCGTATCCGATTACCTCATGGACACAATGTGTGAAGCTAATTTCCGGTGTCCCCCGTCGTGATATTGCTGGAATATTGTTAAAAGCGGAGTAAAACCTTACTCAACCACATTTTCTTTGAAAGTGGTAAGACCAGACTTGAGTAAACAGCCTATCATTCAGCTGTGATGTTTGGTTATTTATGCATTGTAGTGCTCAGTAAGTGAAATGACTGGATTGGAATTCCCAATACGCCGCCTATACAAACTAACACTCCAAACCACTTAGACGTGCCCCTTTAACGTAAAACGGTTTTTGAACAGGCTTGTCTCTGTTCTTCTGACCTTGTTTATGACTTCTTCCTCCCATGCATGTACACAAGTATTTGTGGCACCTCTTTATTTAAACTTTGAGGAAAAACGTGTATTTTTTATATTATATTTCAATATGGCCTACTATGTCTTAAAATTCTTTCATAACCTTTCACGGTGGCCAATACATGTAAAGTCATTCTATCCTTTGGACAGTACAGGGGAACCCAGTCTGTTATTTATATCTTTTTAGAAATTATCATTTTTGAACTACTAATTATTACCTTAGAGACTTGTGCAAGTCTACCCTGACAATTACTATTTCAAATTCACGGGAGCATAGACTAACAACTAGTCTCTGAAATGAACATATTTTACTGAAAAAAGTTCATAGTAAAAGAAAATATAATATAATGAAAAGGAGCCCTGTGACTTTCTTCATTAAGCTGAGGAAATCTAGACTTGCATGGGCTTTCTTGGATATATTTGCTTCAGGGTCTGTACGACAGACTAACGAGAGCATTACAACCTCTCTTCACTATTATTTCCGTATGCACTTAAGTGAAGGTCACTTAAACGGATACCATTTATCGCTATGAGCTTTTGAAGCTGCAGTTAACTTATGGAACCGACATGCCTACCCTCCACGCTCCATCTCCCTTTCTACCCCCTCCCCACTTTTCACTCTCACCCACACGTGACAGATTCCCCGCCTTCCTACTTGTGTTACATAACACGCTGGTTGTAAAACCCGATGACCCCA